GGTAAGTTGGGCTTTATGGTCAAAATAGCTGTAAAAGATAAGTTATCAAATGGAAACAGCAGTTACTGGTTCACTTAGCTCCAGTATCCAGCCCCTAAAATAATCTGACGTTTGGTGGAAAAGAAAAAATATAACTGATTTCTTTTTCAAAGGGGAATTTTAACTTCAGTGGTAGAGCTAGATTAGGTTATAGTTATGCTGCTTCCATTTAAAATTGCTTTTGACTGTGGCTTGAGATAAAATATTTTATTTATTTGTGATGAAACTAACTTAGCATTCAAAGACACATCACTGAGAAGACCAAATGTTACCATTTTGCTACCTGGTGCTGCCTAAACCGTTGAAGTATGAGTAAGACCACTTGATTTGTTTTCCAAGTGTAGACAATCTTAGACAATTTTTCCACTTCTACCACAACACTGTTATGAGGGTGAAGGAAAAGAGGGTATAATTTTAACAAAAGGCAATGAAATAAGAGAAACCCTTTTGTTTACTATTTCCTGGCTTATAAAAAGAAAGGGGAGGGGAGGCTTTCTTAATGCTGGCTTAATATTGTATTGCAAATGTGGGTCAGTTAGCACTGTCATGTACACAGCTTATCAGGGCTTGCCCCTATAGTGAGGGAGGAGTCAATCATTAGGAGCCACTGCAGTAAATAATGTAATAAGTTCTACTTCGTATCTTACTTTTACTGCTTTTGTATAGCAGTTGTATCTGTTCTTCAGTTTAGAACTGGTGTTCAGGTTCATGCAGGTATACAATTTTACCTGGCATGCTGCTCTCTCCCTTTCATTTACAAAGTGATGTTAAGTTGCTTGAGAACAGCAAGATTTGAGAGAGAGCCCATCGTTCCTGTAGACAGTGAATGAGGGCTGGCGAGGCTGCCTGATGGCATGTAGGCCTTGGGCTATCTAAGATTGATAATCACAAAGCTTTGTCAAGGGAAGAATTCCTAAGTTATACGATTCCAGATTTGAGAGCAGAAGACTGGGGGATGCTGAAGTACAAGTCTCTCCCAAAGCTTCTTTATTTCAAAACAAGATACAGACAGGCACCTGCTTATTCTTCAGGGAGGCCTCAGGGGGACAAGCAGGCATTCACCTCACTATTCTTTTAATACCATGCCTGCAAAAAGTTCAAATTCCCAATTTAAAAATTGATTTCACCTCATAGAAGCTTAATGTTGAGCTTCTCACATTTTCTACTAAAAGCTTTCCCTCTGGAGTTGCTCTTCTGTATGGTTTAAAAAAGTGGCAGCTTCAAGAAAAAAAAAAATTCATAATAAGATGAACATTGTTCTGTAAGGTGGCTTTCATCTTCTATAATTAGATTGAGACATGAAAGTATTGATCATAAGAAAGTCAAATTGCATTTCTTTGTTTTAAAGGAAATAAGTAATGATATAAGGTGTACCGTAAGCAGCTCTGTGTTACTGGGGGAGGTTATTTTTTATGATGTCCTAACTTTAGAGAAAATACACGAGAAGCAGAGAGAGCAGCCATTAAAACTGATGTGGCCACCTGTGCTATATAGTTAAATATAGCAGATGTGACCTTTAGTAACAGCATTCTCATCTGAACTGCAGTGACATCAAGATGAGAGGTAGTGCTTGGGTTACAAAGGTGACAAGACATTACTAGGCAGAGTTCCCTTGTTGGTTTGGTATGGTTTATGAATTTGAAAAATACTGATGTTGTGATCTCTATATATTATTAGTGCTACTGGTTCTTCTATCCGAAGCCATACATAATTCCTCATCCTGAACTTACCATTGGAATTTGATAAAGGAAGTTGGGAAGATAAATTCTGCCTCTTTTAATCATTGTGTCTCTATAACCCTGATGGGTAGTTCAGAGGTTCCTAAAAACAGGCAGCATATGAGCGTTAAAACTCTACTTTGAAATTCTGCTGGCAAATTTTTTGCTTTGTCATTACTAGCGGTGCTGGCAGTTTCACTTGCTGTGTGTCTTCCTGCTGCAGATAACATTCAACTACATTTTATTCTTCCTTGTGCAGCCACTGGGAGGATTTGGAACACACTTCGACTAGATGCACCAATTGTTAGCCAAAGCTGTTCTTTGATGATAGAGAGCAGAAATTGAATGGTGTTTTGGAATAAAAGAGTGAGAGCAGAAAGGAGCTGAAGGCCCTTAGATCTGATGTGTCAGATGAGGGAGCTTTAAAGCAAATGCATCTCTCACACACAATTTAGCTATTTCAGTCAAAGTTGGTAGGGGTTGAGTCTACTTCCCAGAGAAGTAACCAGGCATGAATTACTATTAAAAATATGCTTTAAAAATATGGTAATTAAATATTGCACATCAAATAATCTCAGGAGTTTGAGCATGTTGATAAACCAGGGTAGAACTGTAAGTAGTCCTGTTATTTTCTGATAGTTTTATGCTTGAAAAGCTGCATGTCATGTTGAGCATCCAGAATAATTAATTCCAGAAAACACAGGGCTAAAGAAAGGTATTAGCAACTCTATCTGTGTTTATCTGTGTCTTTTCAGTTGTGGAATTTATCCATGTTGTCTGTGCTAAATAGCAGTACTCAGACACAAAAAAAAAGCATGCTGCTTTATAGCAGGTACGTGTGGTGGGAGCTGGGCAGAATACCATGCATTGGCTCTGCACAAACTATTCTGCTTACCTCCATATGAAAAATGATGCCTGATCCCACTTAGGAGCAAGGTATGTCTTCATACTGGACCTTTTATGTTGCACTGGTGACTTGCTCTAAATATAATCATTTTATGCTTGGGTATATATGAGAATTTCACCAAAAGACCGTGTGCTTCTCTTGCCAAGAAAACAGACATATCCCGTTGTAACTTTTCTCAGATAGCAAAATCAGTCAGTAGAGCTGCTAACTGATGCTGGTCACTCTTATAATAGTAGTATGAAATAAGAGCACGAGAGAAGAATTCACGTAATAGAAATTAATTCTGCCCATAATGTGCCTAGAAGATGAGGGTTAAAGATGTGAATGTACAGGCAAGGGAGCCAAAGAAAAGATACGGCCAAACTGAGGAAGAGCAGGATTTCTGGTAGAAAAAGTCACTATTGCTGTATGGAGAGATGTAGCAAGCTAAGAATTGAGTATGACTGAGGACAGCTGGTCACACCAGAGAGCCTGGAATGCAGTAAATAGCCTTTACACTTCTGCTGATCCCTGAGGGAAAATGGTGAAAGAGGGAGCAGAGTAAGTGTGAAAGTCAGTGCTAAATGCTGTGTGAGAGTATAAAATTGTGAAAGAATAGTAATGATTTAAAAATTGTATCTAAAGTGTGGACAATGTGAGAAATAAAAGGTATTTGATACTGAATGTCTGAAATTGAGGTTTGCAAGGCTTATCTCCTTTTTCCTGTGTTTGCAGAATTTTAACGTTGTAGAGTTATTGGTACTACTGAATACATGTTATGACTATGATGTACAAAATGCTCATTTGAAGAAGTTAATAAAAGAAAGAAGACTAAAGGAAAGGATAAAGATCAGGAAGTATCAAAAAGAGCAAAGAAATTAATTGAATTCAGTTATAATGTTAGCAAAATTTTGGTTGTGTGCTAAGCATTTTCAAATTCAATCTGAAATTTTGTTTTGCCTTTACTTCATCAATCTCAGTGTATCCTTGAGGTCTTGTAGCACTTTATGAATTTGTCCACCTACAGAAATGCAATGAAGATAGTTAATCAAGTTCACATGTGCTGTATGTCTGCATATACTAGGAATTCGTTCCAAATATTTCTGCCCAACCACCACACTTGCTAAGGAGCGCTGGGAACTGATTTCCAGTGCTGAGCTACATGTTTAACATTGTAGATTAATGCGTGCACCTTTTTATTTATCTTCCCTCTTTCATTCCAAATAGTTGTTTGTCAGAGGGAAGAAAAAGTCTTAAATCCAGTTTTCCCAATGAAGGTATTATTTCTTCAGTATGTGGTGCTCACTCAATGCCCTTCATCTGTCATAAAATTAAGATAGTCATCAGGAATCATCATGGGAGCATGACAAATACTGTGTTAAGGTAAATTTTAATGCCACTTCTTTTGCGTATTACTTTGTATCTTCTGTTAAACTGGCAGAGGTGAGCTTCCAATTTAACTGCTCTTTTATTCATTTTTATCTACATTCTAAATTCAATTTAGTGGAACTATCCTATAAATTGTAAACTTTGAAGAATTACCTCATTAGTCTTGTTTGTGACAGACTTAATTTTGTATTCCTTTCCACAATACTAGCCTCAGGACTGTTTTTTTCAGTGAATTTCTTCCTGAGTTTGTTAGGGTTTTTCTAGTACACTTCTGTCTAGATTGGCAACTGCTATAAATCAGTATAGTCAAAATAGTTCCACTGAGATAATCTTCTGGTTTTCATATTAATTTTCTAGGGCTAATTCCGGCAGTCTTTTTTCTGGTAACACTTTTATTTCTTCTCCGTGACCTTCTGCATTAATAACTGCTACAGGAGGTGGGTGGGAGGGGGCATTGGAAGTGCTTCTTTAATGGTCAATAACAGATCTCTAGAGAAGAGTGTAAGAAGTTGTGCGTTACGCAGTGTCATGTCATAAATATACTGCACAGAGTAAGGTGCTACTCAGCATAATAAAGGATATGAAAATATGACTCGTTAAGGGAAAAATGTTTCCCAATATCATTAGGTAGTAAAACTGTAGGGGGGAAAAAAAACCAACATACAGTAAGTTATAGTTGTTCTTCCTCCTTTGGCCACTTTGAAATATAATATGAGAAAGGTAGAAACTGTAAAAGTGAATAAAGGGGTAGGAGGGTGAATTATCTGCCTATAACAAAATACATAGCAGAATTACTGTTTCATTTCCATGTCTTGATACTGTCCAATTCCTTTTGGCCTCCTCTTACTTCTGCATGCCTTTATAGTCAGTATCCACTGTGTGGGGAGGAAAGACGTGCTTTGCAATACATGAGAGGGTAGGAAGTTGATCTGACACTTTTTCTCTTTCTCTCCCTGTTTTAAATGTAGAATGAAGAAGGTTTCCTGCAGGAAGGGGTGGTGAATAATACTGATATTCCCGTGGATCCCGAGAACGAGGCTTATGAAATGCCTCCAGAGGTAAATCTGTTGTGGTATTTGCTGTTCGTGCCCATAGGAGAAAGGCAAAGATAGGGTACTGAAAGCTGGAGTTGCCTAAGTGTGGCACAGGCTGGTACTATGATCTGCAGGGTCAAAGGAGAAATAAGTCTCTGGCCAAAATCTCTCTGAAGTACAGTGCTGGGGAAAAAAAAAATCAATTTCTTGAAGTTTAATGAGAAAATACTATCTTTGTTTCAAAACATGCATGCTTCACTTTTTGAGTAATCAGCAGTAACTTCTTCTCATCTTTGATACAAAATGTGGAGAGAAACTTCTACCTCGCCATAGATTCTTTTAATAGGTTGGACATATAATATATTTCTTTGCATCATGCTTTGTAAAACATAGTTATTACACTTACAGCTTAATGCGATTATAGGAGTAAATTATTGAAGGTTTTGCGCTAATCCTGATTATGCTTTCTGAAACTTTTCAACAATATATGATACTATGATGCATTGGCATTTGGAGTGGCAGTTTTACAGTAGTGCAGATAATCAGGCTGAAAACCAGAGGTGTTAGACATCTAGAACTTGATCCAGTAAAAGACTTAAAAGGGCACCTGATCTTTGATTGCTATTCAGGTTTCCAGAGTATGTGCAGCACCTGGTGTGCTGTTCAAAAGTTCTTCTCCTGTCCTAAGTGAGTTAACATGGGCTGTCTCCAGAAATTCTGGCAATGTCAATGGGGACCAGAAGAGATCATTCTGTAGTTCTGAGTGAGCTGAATCAAGTCCCATAGTCACATAAACAATGAGCCTGAAAAAATGTATGTTAACAGATCAGCACAGATATACAATTTAACTGCCTCTATTGTTTCAGTAAACCACATAAGGAATGAAGTGTTTTGCAGTGGGCCTTTGTAAAACAGTTTGCACTCCTGATCATTCAAAAAGAGGCTCATTTAATTCACCATAAGCAGACTGAAGAGCCCAGTTACATGCTCTCAAATTTTCATTCAGAGCTCTCAAATTTTTCAATGATCTTCATCATTGAAGAACATGTCCAACTCTTTTGCTGGATCCCAGCTTAAACATAGCAGCTTGTTTCCAACATGAATGGGATTTAAAAAAAATAAAATTAAATAAAATTTAAAAAAAAAGGATAAAGAATAGCGTAGGTAATTTTATTATTATTTATTATATTATTTTTAAACAAATATTTTGTTGTTGTTGTTTTCCCTTTCTTCCCTACATCATTATGCCTCCTGGGAATTAGTCAGAAATTCATTGCTGTCTTTGTGATAACTGTGAATGGTATGTTAACCCCTGTAAAAGCTTATTCTCCTGTTAACACCACACTTTGTCAAATAGAGTATCTGGAAAATGGGACAAAACAGTAAATACAAGACAAGATTCTCATCACACAAAAATCCTTATTTTTTCGCTGCATCCATTGTGACTAGGACAATCAGTAAAAGTTAAGATATATGTTAGGATGTATTTATCTATAATAGTAGCACTGATTTCTGCTCTCCTTCATAGGAAGAGTATCAAGATTATGAACCTGAAGCATGAGAAATCTTTTCTTCCTTTATATCTCCTGAAATCTACTAACAAAGACGTCCCATCCTGTACAAGTGCTGAGTTCCAATGTGCCCAGTCGTAAAATTTTTTTACAGTTTTTACAGTGTATTTTGAAGTCTTCCATCAGCAATGATTGGAGTATCTGTGACTGCATCCACCTTGTTTCAGCATTTCCCTCCTGCTGAAATGAAAGCTGGTTGGCGGGGTCATTGTTGTGCTGTGGATATTGTGGCTTCACTTTTAAAAGTTAAAAACAAAATACTAAATAAAAACACCTAAGTGTCTACTGCTTATTTCTAACTCTGTACATGTTTTGTTGATAGGCTGTCAGTAATTTGATATTGTTTATGATACGATTTTTATTTGTTTCCTATGACTATTATTTCTGTGCAGAAAAGACTTATTGTGAAAGCTTTATGTAAATGTGTATGTATTATATATATAAAAAAGTAACTGAGCATGAACTATGCACCTATAAATATTAACTGTTGAAATTTTATTGTTTTGTGATGTGTTTTATTAACTTGTGTCTGTAAATAATGGTGTTCAACTGAAGCAAATAAAATGTAACCTGATAAAAATGAACTTCTAGGCTAGTAGTTATTTATAACAGCTAATTTTCTCTCCAAGAGCATGCATTGAAGAATTCAGCTTTTGTGGCTTCCTGAGGAGGAACGGGGAGAACAAAAGAAGCAAACAAGCTTGCTCTATACTAAAAGCAGAATGAAGAATGTGAGTGTTGGGAAGGGCCTTACAGTGCTTTGAAAACTGATGTTTTGATTTCCATTGTTGTCCTCAAGTCTCAAGGGAAACTATCTAGGGAAAATTATTTTTCAAAAGAATTGCAATCTCACTCTTGTTTAAAAACTGTTATCATCTCCTTGATCATTTCAAACAATTTGTGGGTATTTTCACAAATAGTTAAGGTGCATAATGAAGACTAAAGCCCTCTGCTCTTCTGCAGAACTTTTTCATGGCAACCTGCAACAAACCACTGTCAATTTGCAGTCTGCAGTTGCCTTCACAAACAGTGTGTCAAAAGAATCTCTTGACACAGACATATTTACTGTTAAAATCTATCTTAACATCTGTTGTTTGCCTCCATGGTAAATAAATATCAGGATGACATACAATGTACAATCACGCTTCTGTAATTATTAATATTGTTAAAGGATCTTTCTATTCTATGTTAAGGAATTAGGAAGAAAAGCTCAGTGATGCAGTGTTGTGGGTTTTTTGTTTTTTTTTCCTTAGTGAGCTAGCAGAGTGTTGGCCACCAAAAGCAGTAACAGAGCTGCCACCCTGATGATTGGTCAGATGCCTGGTGCACTACAGCAGACACTGGAAACAGCCATCTAGATACAAAATACAGTTCTGATGTTCATCTTCCCCAGGTCTCAACTGCTGTACTGTTCCTATATTAGGAGTCAAACTGCTTTGTTGCTCAGATGTTGCAGATAAGTCATATGCTTCTTAAATAAGATCTGGGAAGCAGTATGTCCAAAAAAGGAGTAACAATAATAAATTGATTCCCGGGACATGACAATTTTCTGAGCACGCAGAGATTCTTTTCTTTCATAGGCTAACATCAGCAAGTTATTCAGAGTTTTCAAGTTGTTCCTTCAAAATGTATCACAGGCATTTGATGTAGTTCTCATGCCTCTTGCCAACAGGCCCTCAGATGACCCTGATGGTCTGTGGGATCCTGGTTACTATGGTAGCACAGTGTGATACACTGCTCTGGTAACAAGCTGTGTTCTAATTAGATTCCTTAAGGGCTGTCCAACCATCCTTTCCAGGTAGAATAAGTGCTTTTTTGTCTTATTTCCTGCAGTGAAATTAATGGTGACATGTGGATTGCAAATGTCAGAATTATGTATGATGCTAAAGCTAAACTAAATAGCTATTTCTGTATTCAAAAAAAAATTTTAAGGGTGTTAAAAAATGCTCCTACTGTATTGTGATAATATTTGCTTAAGTGATCTATCGGAGAGCAACATACCTCTCAGCTCACTTTTCTCTAGGAGCCTAGATTTTATTTCTAACTGAAAGCAGTTTTCTGTCCTCAAGCTGTGAGTTAATAATGAGTCCCACCATATCCCAGTTCTCCAGGGGAAAAATCACATTTTGTTTCCTTTCTATTTTGACAGCATTAATTGGTCTTATAATGGCTACTAATTAAACACTTGTAATAATGCTTTTATTACTGTAAATCATAGCGTTAATACTTGTGCTACGTGCTTTTGGTATAGTAACATTCAAGTTATTATATTTGCATAAGGAAGAGGGCAAGAAATGCTCTCTTCCCGCCCTGTGACTTCTCATTATTTCCTCAAGATAGCTGTAGAAAAGTTAAGGTAATTTACAGTGTCTTAAACTCAAGAAGTATTATGTCTGCATCTCTTCAAGAACTTCATCCTTGGTTTCATACCTTGGGCACTCTAGACTTTGTGATTCTTGTAGAAAATCATCTGACATGGCTAGAGGGTCTATCAGCTCCATGAGGATCAGGGAAGAGACTACTCTCTCCAAGGTCTGGGAGACTTGAGCGTGCGGGGCTGTGCATCTGATGGCTGAAATTCATCCAAGAGCGAAGCAGAGATAGGTAGAGGATTCTGCCTACTTATAAAATGTTAGAAATCTTAAATTCTTAGTTACCTCTAAGACTTGATGCAACGTACATTTGAGCTTTTTATTGACTTAACATCCATATGTTGCTTTACAACATCCATAGATCCAGCACAAGTTTAGCACCGCTTAGCAGCACATGCTCATGTGATGAGTTTCCCGTCATTCTTTCTATGCTATTTAGGGAGATAATCCTTGAAACCTTTGGAGATTTCCATGAGTAGTGATTGTACAGCACCTTTTTGTCAGACTGATGGTACACAGCGGAACTGATAATCCAGTGTTCTGCTCCCTAACTCCCTGGAAACAAAGGGAGTATTTCCATTGATTTACATTCTGTATGGATGTCCATGGTTCTGAACAAATAGCATCAGTTTTCACGTAAGCAGGCTTGTTTTTGAATTACGCTAACCAAAAACAAATGAGATCTTAGTTTTTAGTGTCTCCATGCTGCATTTTTAATGGAAAATACAATCTGCTTAAAAGCAGGCATAAACAACTTTTCTCAAGCCTGCCTGACATTTAATGTGTAACTCTGAAGGTTCATCTGATCTAAAAAAGGCTGGCAGATGGAGAGACAGCAGGTGAACCTCAGATGAGACAGCCAAGAGGTAACAAACAGGGTAGGAAACTAGGTCAGCTGAGATTTCTTCCACATTGGAAGAAAAGCTTTGAAAATGCTTCTTCCAGTGGAGGCTTAAAAGTGGATTTTTGGCATTTTCTGTTAATATTTGTATCAGATGAACAGCTGAAATTTACAACTGTGTTTGTTTGAGCTGCTTCATAGGAGACCTGTTTGCAAGAAGCCACAGCACCCATTTGTTTCTGTTGGTTAACTTAAGAAATTTAACAAGAAGAATGTTGGTATGAGCAAGAAACTGCAGGGAAACATGGATCTTTCTTTTTCAACTTCCTTTATTCTTTATTCACCAGTCTCACTTTTTTATTTCTTTACATTCATCTGCCTAATTTTCAAAGGATTTGGTTGTACCTTATTCTTGTAGCCAGATGACAATTTTAGTAGAAAATTTTATTTTAGTCATTGTGTCTAGTATGCTTGGAGAGCTGAGCTTTGCTCTTTGATCCTCTATGTAGCTGAAAGACCACAGCTCATATCCTTCTCAGGATGCTCCCATGACTGTTATCCAAAGACATAGTGAGTATTGAGTTGGAGAGGCCCTGTGGCTGCATAGGGAAGGCAGAGAAACAAAGGAGGCACGAGAGCTTCTGTTGCCCTGCCTCCCTCCCCTGGACTTTTCTTCTTGGCCCAGAAGCTAATGATAAAGAATAGTATGGGCTTTTACAAAACTTTCAGGCACAGATGCCTCACGTAGTCAGTTATATTGAAAACAGGACTACTATCTTCCCAAGGGAGCTTTGCAGTCCTTATGGATATGCAAGTCCTTATTGATTGCTTGAGAAAAGATTACCAAAGCTGAGAGACTTACCACTTTCCTGTTGGCATTCACCAATATTCACCTAGTGGTGTGCTTTCACTGCCATTTTTAATCACATTATTTATAAGAAAAACAATGTTTGTGACTGTCATGTACAGTTTATTGGCCAACTCACTGGTGTTATTTATCTGTTTTCTGATGAGACTGTAAATTCTCAGCAGGCCTGCAGCTTATTTCAGATCTCAGTGTCATAGTAATCACACATCCATGAACTCCCAGGTATTTCGGGTTGTGTTATTTATTGTTTCCACTACAAGAATACCTACAGGCCCTAGATAAGGTTGGGACAGGAGCCCAATACCAGTTTCAAGAAAGAGATTTGACTAAGAGTTTAAATGGATTTGCTGCTATTTGCAAAGCTGAAGGGAAGATGCTTTTTTTGTGACTTTTTAGAACATCTGGCACATCCCCAGTGTCATGCAAATGAACAACAACATTGCAGGGAAAAACCATGAATTGCTAGTTTTAAATGTCAGAAGTCCACTATTTGCCTCAAATTACCTATGCGTGAGAGTGAGGGAGATGTTTTTTTAGAATCAATTGCAAAAAAAAAAATTAGATTGTAGACTGACCCACTGAGGATGGAGTACAGGCTCTCCATACAATGTTCTTGTAATTGTGCTATTTCTATTTGTGGCACACGTTTGTCTATGTTGTGCATGCTGGTGACAGAGCAGGTAAACAGGGGAGTATGTTTAACAATTGAGCATCAAGTAGCAGGACAAGACAGTTCTCATTGTGTTAAGATGTCATAGCAAGGTCAGGGCTCCCATCCTAAGCTTCAGTGAGTTAATTGCTAAAAACTAGTGTGGCACCGCTGGTCCTGAATAAAATGTATGCCAGCCCTTTGAGATATAAGAGCTGAGTAAAAAAATGCATTTTATGATGAAGTTTAGATGTATAATAGCTGGAAGGTTTCAAAACAGAAAGGAAATACAGACAAAGATTTCAAAAAATATTTATCGACATAGGCTTTTCTCTGCTCGGTGAGATTTTGGCAAAATTCACGCAGTACCATGAGGGATTTAAATGAGTAGAAACTTGTGAAACTGTTCATATTACTTCCAGCACCACGTACTCTTCTAACATCTTGCCAGTATTTCTCCTCTGCAGTAAGAATCTGATTTACTGTCTGTACTATTTATGCCCATCCTCCTTGTCAGAACAAATACTGGTTCTGTATATTTATCTTTGCTGTTATTGTAGGCAAAGACCTCACCAAATTCTGAGTCTAATTCTGTTAGGAAGGGTATCTTAAACACCAATAACACTTTTCAACAGCATGCATGAATATACCTTAAAATTTACCTACTCTGGGCATACAGTTTTTGAATAGGTTCTTCTTAGTAAGAACTTAAAATCATCCAATTCATAGCACGAACATGTCTCCTTATCTTTCCTTAAATGTTATTTACCACTCAGGTCAGCAGATGAAGAGCTGAAGAGCAGAGGATCTGATTAGGTACAAGATCTTTTTGGATGAAT